CTAGAACAACCTAAAAAATTAACGATGGGGAAGACAAGTAACTTCCAGTCGTTTCAATGACGTTTGACTCTTCTTGACTTATAACTCTTTCATATTAATTTAAAACTTAATTATTTTTTTGTGTAATAATTTCAATTTATATTTGTATCAGTGTTATTTGTATAGATTTGTATCTTCTCTCCCACCATGTTTTCAGAGTAACGTAACTTTGTTACTGGTAGGGAGTGATGTAGCAACAATTATTATTGGTCATAATAACTACAACTACTTCTACTAGATAATGACTACTACTTTCACTTCACCTTTAGTTTCAGTTTAGTTTCAAAGGTTGTCATCCTAAAATCAGTAAGGAGTTAGTGAGGGCTACAAAGAATAATAAAGATGTTATATATGGAAAATATTGATTCTTGCTTTTAAATTTTTGCTATTTAAATTATTATAAAAAGAACTTAGCAAGCAACCACAGACTTGAGCGAATTCTCGCTGTGTCTTGGAAATTTTAACAGAGACTCGGAAAGGGTGTAAGATACCTTTTTATTAATACATAAGAATTTAACCGATGGCACATCTTGTGCTTATAGAACTGGCCAGCACTTATGGCATAAATCAAAAGTAAAGAATTGAGCTTAAGTAAATTGCAGTTAGCCCAGGAGCTACATAGGCAGAAAAAGAGCAAGTAGGCTCATATCTTGTTGCATCAGGTTCTTCTATTTACAATAAAATTAATGTAAAATTCCTTACCTGCTGCATCTTCAGTGTTCGCAACGCCAGGCTTCTATAATCACGTTTTCAGTAGAGTTTATATTAGAATTAACAGACATCTGTTTTTTACTTATTTATTCAAATAAAACACTAACATACACTATTTACAAGGTAGGTGATAATTATTTTAAGACAGTACATTTTAATTCTGAGTCTGAAGTTTTCGTCTTTACGCTCCTCAGAGCGGTTCCAATCTAGCCTAGTTTTTAGAACTCAATTACAGCAAAAGTAAAAAAAAGAGATGCCCGCCATCTAGTGGCAAGAATGTGACATATCTAGTATCTGCGTGATAAGCTTATAATCCTTTTGTTTGGGAATACATTTATATGTTAACGGCCTTTTTTTTTTTAAAGTTGTAACTTAATGAGAAAATACCCCGATTGAACAATGGACATCTACAATCCACGAGAAGATAATTTTAGTAACTTGAAAAGATAATTTTTACCATGAAATCTCTCCAAGACTACAAACTTCATCGGAATCTGAACGCCATCAAGTGCTGAGCTACAGTAATAAATAAAGAAGTTTATAATTATTTATTAACGCACATATGTACTTTTATTTATGCGTAGAAGAAAAGTTTAATCAGTAAGAGAAGCAACCTAGGCTATTATTTATTCTCAAGTTTTGTCCCACTTGACAAATTTTCTCTGAAAAATTAGAAAGTTTTCGTAACTTGTTTATTTTAGTTAGTTTAATTTAGTTAGTTAATGATTAATTAAGCATGTTAGAATTATTTGAAAGAAATGCTAATCGAAGAATTTAATATTTAGCTGCCAGTATATTTCAAAGTGTTCTTGAATTACAACAAAAATATAATTCAAGTATCAAACTTTGAATTTTAGATTAGACAATAAATACAAGTTAGAATTTTTTGCCCATTGCGATGTTGTTATTAATGTTTATATATGTTTCGGTAAGTATTTAGTAAACAAAATCTAAGATTTATTTAAAATACCTGTTGCCTAAAAGAGACATTAATCTGCAGTGGAATGTTAGTTTCGAAACGGCATTTTGGCACTGAATCACAATAAACGGCGTATAACTTTTTGAATTGTTACCACCGAATATTATCGTTCTCTATTATATTTAAAGAAATTAGCGCATGAAGAAACTGCATAAATGTATGCATGTTTCTCGCCTTGTGAATAAACAACGGTACCTACAGACAGGTTAGGTTAGGTTAGGTTATTTAATTACGGCAAAGCCTCGAGGGCTATCTGCCTAAGGGAAGAAACGCCCTTGCGTGGAGCAGACTTCTAAGGGAAATAGATGATAAACGTACACAGGGGGAAAACCACGCAACACGCCCATTGCAGCCAGCCATGGAGGTATGAAAGGGAGGAGGCCATTCCGCGCCTAGAGTGAAGCACTGCTTTGAAGCTTGGTCACCAGACGACGTGGACGTCTTTGTTTACATTAGAAGCTCGCTTGACAAGAGTCTGATAGTATTCGACACAGACCAGTCCATAGAAATCGAAAAAGCGCACCCCCCCCCCACCCCCCCCCCCCCAAAAAAACAAAAACCCCCCCCAAAAAAACTCCCACCCCCCCCCCCCCCCATGAACTCTCGCAAGAAGAAACATTCATAAGGTTTTTTTTTTATGAGGATAATAGCCTTTGTATAGTTTACTGACATTTACGCCAAAAATCACACTTGTATTTTCGATAACTACAACGCGATTTTGATTAGAATTGGTTATAAAATCTAAGCGTTGTACTACAAAATAAGATTAAGAAATTGCTAAAGAGATATGCCAAAATTTTTTCTAAGATTGAAATTTGAAACTTGATGGCTAATTAATATAAATTATGTTTTAAATATTGTAATAGCACATAGGTCATATTATTTAATAGAGTACGCATGCAAGGGCTTCTCCTAAAGAGAGAGATGCCATCGTGGGGAATTTTGAAGAAAAACTACCTTTGAGTGGGTATTAAAAATAATACTTTTTATTCAAATTATATTATATATATTTTTATGTAAAACTTTCGGGTGTATCTAAATTAGTGTAAATTACTTTACACGAAAAATATAGTGAATGCACAGATTAAAGATTGCACATGCCGGAAATGATAAAGGATTATGGGTATTTATGCATGTGCTTGAAAAAGCATGTATCTGCTTTGACAAAATACTTAAATATCATTAAATTATTTATAAATTATTGAAATGAAGAATTATTCATTATAAACTGTTGTGAAAAAATCTAATGATAAAGTATCTAATTTATAATGATTATAAATGTTATCTAAATATATAATAACCTTAATATGAATTGTAAACATAAATTGAAATCCTGTGACAAATACGTTATAAACTATTAAAGCAAGAATTGTTCGTATTGGAAAGCATCTTTAAAAGGTATTGAAGCAAATGCTATGAGATGCGCACTTCGAACGTAATAAAGATTTGGAATATGTATTGTTGAAATGAAGGGTAAAAAACAAAATCTGATAAGTATAATTAAAAGAATTATCCCTTACATTTTATAACTCAGTTACAGTTTTATAATACTTAAAAAAAAAAAAACTATTTTAGGCTCTATTTAATGAACCGAACATTAGACTTACATTTTTCGATTAAAGAAGCCCAAAAATCATGTCATATTTAAGAAAGTATAGAAAAAGCTCTATAAATAGAAGAAATAATGTAATTTTAATATTAATAATACAATAACTTTGATCTTAATTGTACCTTAACCGATAAAAATCGAATACCTTAATTTTTTTTTCTAATGTAATTAACGAAACTTGTGAAATATTTCATTCAAATTAAACCATCTGAGAAAAGTCCTGTGAAAAAATAATTTATTCCGTTCAGATGAAATGTTGTTTAAAAAGTTGTTTTCACATACTTAGGACTCTGAAGTGTTGTAGAAAAAAATATATACATTTATATGTATTGCGACGTAATTACAAAATATTTACACCCGAACGCGTCAAATCCCTAGAACTCAATGTAAATGACCCATGTTTTGGTCACCACGAGGGATCGCCGGTGCTCAGAGCAGGTACGAGAAACTTGTTTAGGGCGACTCCTTCTTACTTCTACCTCCATGCAGCCAGCCCGTTCGCGGAATCGAACCTCGACCAACTACCAGTGTTCAGCGAACTTTACATTATACGCTCGGGCCTGGGGGGGGGACGATGATCGCCGTACCTACAGACATAAAATATTTGAATAATGTAGTCCTCCACCCGAACATGGGCACCTGAAGTCCTAATTTTGAATTTCAATTTGTTTTATTACCTGTTTCATATTTTGGAAAACTTTAACGAGCTTTTGATTAATAAATGCAACGATTTCCAAGCGAGCTGTGCAGCGCACTGTACGGCAGAATAAAAAATATCTATAGGCGTCCGAGACGTCTATCGGAAATTCCTAAAGATTATGCTGTTTTAAATTTATTTTGGTGACTTTGGTGTGAATCGAATATTATGTGATAAGAAAAATAAAAAACCCCCCCCCCCAAAAAAGCCCCCCCCAAAAATAACCCCCCCCCCCACCAAACCCACCACCCCAAAAAAACCCCTCACACAACCACCCCCCACCCCCCAAAAAAAAAAAACCTTTCGCCAAGAACTGCTAATATTTAATAAATAAATTAAACACCCAAAAGGTTAATAATAAAAAGACAAAAACAATTTTGTAAAGCCCTCTTATTAAGAAAAGTGAACATTGATATGATGAACCGAGAAAAGACCGGGGGGGTATAAATGTCTGCCAACACTAAACGCGGCGTCGGGAATCCAAAAGGTAAAACAAAAAATGGGTAATAGAAATGAGTTTAACACCAGACTGTTAGACACCGAACTCAGCGAAAGGGTAAAAAACCTTAATCTTTTTGGGCGACCGTTAAAATCTGAAAACTTTCAGATTTTTATTATTTTCATTTCGCTAATAAAATTTTTATTTTGTCCAAAAAAAGGGGGGGAGGCAGTTCTGGCCTGTCAGCTGTTTTCAAACTGTGCATTCGCTCAGTTTGAGTTTGAGACCACTTAACTATGCTATTCTTCCATAAAATGAAAATCGTCTGAAATTGGATATTTATTGAAAAATCTGCTTTTGCAAAAAACCAATGCAGTGTTTTGATAATGAAATACTGGAAATTACATATCTTCACGGAACAGCAGTTAATCATGAATTAATATAAGCATTTCGAACGCAGTATTTATTCGTAATAACAACAAACAATGGGATTGCTAGCAATTAAAGTATTCTTTCTTACTTGCAGTTCCTCAGTCCAAACTCAACTTGAGAGAATCCGGGTCTCCTGTGCGGCGAACGAATTCATTCCCGAGGAGACATAATGAACTGGATGGTTCTCATGATTGCCGAGACTGCAGCCAAAATCTCAAAGTATCGGAAGTGTCGTTTCATTCGCATGAATTGCATCTTAAGAGCAGATGTAAAACGAACTTGGAAGAACGCAATGAACTAGGTAGGTGTTGAAACTTACTTTATTCATCTCACTATAAAATTAAGTTTTCATTTAGGTTAAAAATATTCATTACATTCGTTAACTAAATGATTTCCTTTAAGGCTGACGTAATGGCATTTGAACGTGCTAAGTCTTCGAAATCCAGAATCAATATTAATAACTTTTCACAAAGAACCATTGATTAACTCAAATTTTAGAAAAGCAAAAACAAACATCATGTTTATCAAACGAAGTTTGTAAAATACGCTTACATTTTTACTTCCTTGAAAAAGTAAAACGAAGTAAAAAGGAAGTATTGAATCGTGAAGAAATTTACGAAGTAAAAAGGAAGTATTGTAATCGCGAAAAGTTTCTGGCAGCGATATTCAAGAACTATCCATTTGAACCTATCGAATGCCCAATTTAACGATGTTTTTGCGCTGACATCTGTAAGTACGGACAGAATAAAAGACTCGTTTCCTCAAAAAAATAACTGCCTTTAAAGAATCGAAGAGATTTTCCGTGGTATCTGTACGTCGTACTGAGTATGTGCGCGCATAACTCAAAAACGAGTAGCCTCAGAACCTTGAAATTTTGTATATAAGACTGCTATACGACGTAGATTTGCATCTCGTATTTCGGTTGCAATCGGCCCCACCGAACGTATATAAATATATTTATATATATATCCACACTGTTACCCGGCTCAGTAATTTCAGTTTCTTTACTCTTACATGTTCGTAAATTGTGCACTTTTGCTTTAAAAAATGATTGAATTAGCTTGTTCTTACCTTCCGATTAAGGTTTCTATGTCTTTAGTTAATCTGCATTCAATATTTGTAGAATTATCAACAATTTAAAAGCTGTTTAAGTGCGTTAAGCCTAATTTTAATAACATGCGGACATGGGTTTACATTGTACCAGAGAATAGCAGATTGTTCCATCTAGAGAGACTAAGCTCGCAACAACAGATAACGCTTCATTTATTATTGCGAATTATTATCTTAGTTCTGAATTTTTCGAGGATAAGCTTTAGATGCTTCGTATTTATACAGTATTTGAGTTTTTGTATTTTTGCTTTGTCGCGAAGGAAAACGAATTAGTTGAATGAGAAATCTGATGTCTGTGAAAAATGTGTCTTTTTGTTTGTTTGCTTAAATTCTTTTATACTTAGTTCTAGATTTTAAGTATTGAATAGACTGTGCAACGCTTAGATATTCTTCAATGATATAAATTTTTGCATCTGGTTTATAATATCACGAAGAAACGCGCTAGTGATCTAGCGCCAGAGTTCGCTATGGTAAACAAATTAGTGAATTTTAAGAGTCATTACTATATTGTGGTTATGCGCTATCGACAGGATTTAATTAATGCAATAAGTTTAAATGAAATGCAAGAAAAAATGCGTATAATTTAGTATTCCGTACAAGAAAGTCATGTGGTGTACACACCAGACTCTTTCCTTGCAGTCTTTCAATAATTAAATGTTTTCAAATGAATATTAGTTTTTTTAATTGCAACTCCGTCTCCGCATTAATTTACTGGTAGGGATTGTACCTGTAACTAAGTGTAACTTGTTGCAAATCCTTGAGTAGACGTGTAAGCGACATATCGCTATGTCTAAGATGAAACAGAACTTAGGAAGGATGTCAAAGAACTTTTATTCAAAACGCAACATAATTTAACAGGAGGCACTTCTTGTACTAACAAACCAGCCAGCATCTATGGCTTAACTCACAAAATAAGGAATTCAGATTTGAAACTAAGTTAAATCTTAAGTTAGCCCCACAGGCTATACAGGAATGTGTAATGCAAAAGTTGGCTCAAACTTATATCTCCGAGACAAGCACTGTTGGAAGGAATAAAGCAACGCCGATAGTAGAATTGCAACTAGTAACGTGGCCTTCAGCAGGTGCAACACGCTCTGATTAAGCAATCTAAAACCTTCCTTTAAATACAATCTCTCTCTACTTTATTTGAATAAGCGCGAACTAAAAATGAGCCTTCTGGTAGGAAAACGGACAGGGAGAATGACGGTAAAAATATTTAACATAAAATAACTGGGAGATAAAAATAAATAAATCCTTATATGCTTCACAATCAATTTTCGTGAATACCAGCCATGAATAAATATAAAGGATTTTATATTAGTTTTTAAAGCATTCCACTAGTCAATTATCTATTTTTGGTTATGGTCCATTTTCAAATTTTGTTTACATATGCTGTCCCAGAAGAAAAGAAATAAAATTCAAGATAAATTATGTTTAAAGTTTGAGCAAAGCAATGCATAAAGATGAACTATAAATATATTTCTAAAATTCAAAATATAAAAAAAATCTATGACATTTTAGATATAAAACTAAAATGTGATCGTAACAAAATCCTTCTTTTCAGTATTTGTTCAAACCTCCTGTCTGTAACCTATTATGTTGTTTTAAATAAGAAGTTGAATTATTTTAAATGAAAATTAGTAGTTATATTCCGATAAAATTATTATGAATTTTTCCTTACAAAACAAAAAATATTTGCCTTTCATTCATGTCAGTCCGTTACCTTGAGATATTGCACCTAAAATAGTTTGTAATCTATCAGTCAGTGTTCCTCCTTACTTGCTTGAACTTAATGACCTGACTCGGACAGGAGTACTAAGCTAGTTCAATAATGGTGGAAGTAGACAAGATACACAGGAAGGTATACGAAACCCTTAGTTTCTCTCTTTACAATTTCCGGACTTCGGAATACAGATACCATCCTTGTGGTCGTGACGTGAGATAAAACGACTAACTCTAGAGACTAACTTGGATTAATACCCTCGTGCTCTTGAAATTGGCCTTAAAATTAAACAGAAAGCCTATGAGTACGAGACTGGACACTACATCCTTTTACAAATAAAAAAAGGATTAACCTCTGACCTGAAGCAACCAGCTAACCGGTACAACCTGCTATGGCACGGCCTGCTCCTAATCACTCCTCCTCTCTCTTGCTTGGCAAAGCACAACTAAGTACTGGCGTTCGCAAGACAATTTGCATAAATAGTTAAGCTTTTAATTTGGCCGGAAGTAGAAATAGAATGATAGTAAGATTTAAAAAATAAACGTTATAAACTTAAGATCTTCAATCTGTCTAAAAGGGGTCAGTAACATATTCAGTGACATACATACACTATCAGCTAAGTTGACTACTTTGATATGTCTGCCCCCTTAGCAGGGGCCCACCAGCGGCCGAGCGTAAAGTCGCTGAACACTGGTAGTTTGGTCCGAGGTTCGAATCCCGCGAACGGGCTGGCTGCATGGGTGTTTTCGTGTTTCCCCTGTGTTACGTGTATACGAGCCAGTTTCCCTTAGAAAGTCCTCCACGAAAGCATCCCTCCCCTTAGGCAGATAGCCCTCGTGTGCTTTGCCCGTAATAAACAACCAAACCTCTTCATGTCAGTTCATACCTGAATTATTTTACCCCCAATTAGTTGAAATCTGCCTAAGGTGGTGGTGCTGGTATTTAATTATGGCAAAGCACACTAGGCTATCTGCAAGAGGACGGATGCCTTCGTGGAGGACTTTCTAAGGAAACTGGCTCGTATACACGTTACACATGGGGAAAACCACGAAAACACCCATGCAGCCAGCCCGTTCGCGGGATTCGAACCTCGGACCGAACTACCAGTGTTTAGCGACTTTACCGCTCGGCCGCTGGTGAGCCCGACATGAAGAGAAGACAAATTATTTTTATTGATTTGCTGAACTTTTATCTAAACATTTTCAATTGAATCTTTTATATTTTAAATTGTAGAAATATATTTATACTTATTTTATGCAATGCATTGCTTAATGTCAAACTAAACTTAATATTAATTTATCTTAAATTTTCTTTCTTTTCTTCTGGGACAGCATATGTAAGCAAAATGGGAAAATTGGCCTTATATTTCTAATTCAGCATATAAAAAACTATTAATAATGATAGAATTAACGATAATAATTATAATAGAATTAATATTAACATTCAGGAAGCGCGAAGTCAGAAAAGAAATTAGGTTGAAAGGCCAGAAGTTGGTCAATCCAATACTAATAGCGGTCACCAGTAATAGTAATTAAATGACTCCACTACAGAACACACTAGCATAAAGTAGAATATTTTTTAAAAAGATAAACTTAGAAATTAGTGTCAGATTTTCTCCTTAAGTATTTTTCAAGAAAGGTTAATTTTCCAAAGATCTTAATAATAGTTTTACTTTAAAAAAATTAAATTTTTCTGAAATGTAATTATTACAATGTGGCCTAAAATATGCACTGTATATTCCGGCGTATAACACGTACTTTTAATACAAAAAATAAGATCGAATTTACGTCTGCGCCTTATACAGCGGATATAAAAATGATACATTTAAAAATTAGGTAAGAGCTTGCAGAAATCAGATTTCTACATATATCTAAATGCTGTTTATTTAAAAGAAATGTCACACCTTATGAACTTAAAAAATTTTATTATCGGATAATTTCCTTTACATAAAGCTTATTAATTATTGTGCATTCATTCATTCAGATAAAATACCTGGCTCCAAACTCCGCGTATTCATTCGCGTCAGAAGTGCATTCTCATACCATCATATGTTCCCCTTTTCTCGAAGCACTAGAATGATATTCTTGTGCACATCTGCACTGAATACAACCCTCTCTTTTTTTCAGAATTATTCACTCCCTCAAGCATTTCCCCCACACAGATATTGTTTCTCTTATCGCTTGTCAATTCAGTATGCCATTTATAGAGACATTAGTATTTTTTGGAAGCAAGAAAGAGGAAAAATTAGCAACGCCTTCGCCGGAAATCGAACAGCGGACCTCTGGAATGCGCGCCCAGCGTGCAGACCACCACGCCACGAAGGCATGCCAAGATGGCGGAAGAAATACCTTATACATTTTTCGAAATTCTGGGGAAAATCTTCGAATGAATGACTTCAAAAGATAAGAGCATCGCACATGTATCTTTCATGTTTCTTCGTGCGCGCCAGTATTTATTTCCTCCCACTCCAATGGTGCGCCACTGAGCATGCGCACTAAGCGAAATTCGTTAACATTGATCAACTCAATGTGCAGTTTGCCATAAGGCCACCGGGGCGCTTAATACTCCGGAATATACGGTAGTTGAAAGTTTACCTTTTACTTCGCGTTGACGAAAAACAAAAAGTTGGCTAGTGGAAGTGTGTGTGTTTACTAAATGTATTTCCGTCTGAAACAATTATAAATTTAGTGATTTTTTTTATGGGGATAAAAAGCTTTGTTAGCAAACGCGTATAAATTTTCCTATACCTGTTGACTAGTTAACTGATAGATTTTAGGACCATTAAGAATCATGTTTTTCTTCTGTTTGTTTATATCAGCCTTAAAATCTTGACAATTATTTCTCAAAGTATTAGGAAAAATAGCTCATGCATAATATATAAAAGCTTTTTCTTTCTTTATCCTAGTTATTTCGGAACTTTTAGATCACTAATAATTTTGCTTATTGCAGAGCAAGGTGTTCGAATGAAGAGTAAGCTACCAGTTGCACACTGCGGGAGAAATGTAAACATCATCAAAGACAGCAATACTCCTAAGGAAGTGACACTACAACAAAAGTTTCATCCAAAAGAAGACTGTTATCGAAATAGCTGCCCTCAAAAATATGCCAGAAAGATGTCCATCCAGAGGTATTTTGCAAATCATAAGTTCGAACAGATGTTCAAATTATTTTCAAAGAAGCGTGGAGCGTTAATCGATGTAAGGACTCATATCCGCTGGTTGCGATGCTCAGATATCACTTTTGACAAGAATGGCAGTTTCTTCAGGCACATTGCAGGGTGAGTAACGAGCTATTGAATTAAATTGCTGTTAATTAAAAACAAATTTTAACTCTGATGAATTTCTGTGCTTGAAAATTTGGGGATAAAAATTTTCATGCGAAATTCTGAAACATTCTGTAATATTCTACAGAAAAATGGGAGTTTCTATTTTAGGTCCATACATTGGGTGCAAAAACTGCCTAGAAAAATTCACGCTGCTTTCTGAAGGTCAAGCTCACCATGCAAATTCTAAGCTTCGAAACAAATGTTTTAGTTTCATTGGATGAAACTCACTGTCTTAGTAGAAGGAATATACAAATGCAAACCAATGTAATCAGTTAGGATTCAGTAGCCAAAAATATGCAAATTAAGCACTGACTGAAGAGACTATGTTTTTCTGAAACTTTTGTGTAGAAGAGTTCAGTGTCTGACAGAAAATATTTGAAAAACGATCATAGTATTTTTTGCTCAGATGATATACACTGGTGTGCAAAAATTAAGGACGAAGTCGAAAAATTAGCATATCAGCTGAACGAAGAGGCAGAGCAGACAGAAAGACCAATCAGGAGATTAATAAGGTGATGTACGGAGCACATGCCAGATTGCAGGTAACGTAATGGGGAGTGTGAGTAGTATTGTGATGCTTTTGGCGAAATGAAGCAACTCCAATGATGGACACAGCAATAACTTTATTTACACTCAAAAAAAATGGCGACTACAACAAGAGAGAAACATATTCTATCATTAAAAATAAATTACTTCTCGTGCTAGAGTCGCTGAGGCACTCGATCTGGTTCAAATTTGCCATTCCATACCTTATGTTAATATTTAAATTATTTAATCTACAAGATTTTAATATATTTAAGCTGGTCATATAAAGCATGTTGCGGTATAATTAGTATTTCTGGCAAAGAGATTGCACGCCCTATAAGCGTTAAAATCCGCCGAGTTGCTGCCTCAGCGAATGGCGAATAATCAATCTGTTTAGACGACATCCTGGATGCTTTTACCGGAGGCGATCATTGGGAAGTTGGAGGAAGGCCGCAGTGTGACAAGGTGGCTGCAGAGATCGGAATTGCCACAGATCGTTTCACGACTTTGGAGACAATTTCAAACTACAGGAACAGCTATCCGGGGGTAGTATGTCGTCCACGATGGAACCACACCGCAGATGACCGGTATATTATCGCTAACAGACCAGAATAAACAGTCGCAGACAGCGGGAGAAATCGCTAGACACACACAGCGACTGGACGACCGATATCGCTTACCGTGGCCAGAGACTGCACGGTGGGGGGCTGTTGCCGACTCCCGGTACGTGTACCTCTAACGCCTGCCCATCGGAGAAGGCTTTCCTGTGGTGCCGGGAACACCGGATTGGTGAGACATGAATGGGACGAGTACTCTTTACCGATGAGAGCAGATTCAGTCTGAGTAGCGATTCTCATCGCATACTCATTGGAGAGCGCGGGAAGCCGCAATCATCCCTCGAACATCGTTGAAAGGGACAGGTATGGAGGTGCGTGTTCTCGTTTGGGGCGGCATCATGCTTGGTAGTCTACAAACTTCACATATTCGACGCAGGTTCAGTCAACGGAACCCGTTTTGTACGAGATTCTTTTCCATATGTCGTCTTTTTACGGCGCTTGGGTCCGCAGTTCCTTTTCATAGCGACACCATGTCATCGCACACCTGTCAATGCACCATGTCATCGCACAGTAGTGCCGAACAGCTCTTAGAGAGTGAGTATATGAAATATGGATTGGCCGGCACGATCTCTGGATCTCAATCCCATCGAGCATGTATGGGATTTTCTAGGCAGAACGCTTGCAGCCGTTACCTTACCACCATAACGATTCCGGAGCTTGATTGGCGCTGCAAGAATGTGGGCAGCAAGCCTCAACACTCATTGACACCCTCATTCTCAGCATGGCAGACGCTGGAAACCTGCCTAGCAGTCAGGGGAGTCATATCCCCATTAAAGACCGGATGTTCCTTGCGGACACCACCACAGGGATTTTTTCGGCCTCAGTCGCTTGCGCTCATGCTACTTTTCGATAAGTTTCTTTTTATTCTCTGATTTCTCTTTTAGTAATGGTGCTTACATTACTCATGTTCTTACTATGGGGATCTTACGGTATTAAATGTGTTGATTTGGAAAGTTTTTGTACAAAGTTATATTGAAAAAAACCGTCTCGTCCTTAATTTTTGCACACCAGTGTATATTATGCGTCAGAGAATACGACTGGATAATTCTCAAAACTTTCGGGCTATCAGCTGTCTTGAAGTTAATTAATGATGTCGCTGGTTTGTTTGTTGCTGATTATTCTGTAATTTCTTGCATTTGAATGTAATTTCATATGAATGGGTTAGTTTCCCGGAGACCTGTTTTCGTCGTTGAAATGTAACCACATGCTTCGATGTATCTAACTTTACTAGCTAAGTACGGTCGACGAGCAGTTCTAAAAGCAATATTTACACTAAACAGTACGAAGATAAATAGCAGTGAGTACTGTTTACGAAGATACATATAAAAGGATTATATACCCGGATATTATCAAGGCTACTATACCACAAGATTTGCTTTTCTCGACCAAGGTCAACCAGCGCGGTGACATCGATGTCCTTGACAGTTCCGTTTCCATTCGTGCGATACGAATTTGTAATATGTTGTGTATATGTTTCTTCAATTAACTAATGAATTGAATTTGTTTGGCATGTGTGATGCAGTGACGTCACTGTCTCGAACTTCGGAAAGAGAAAGTCTTGACCTTGGAAAAGTATAACCTTTCTAGTGACCTAGGGTCTAGGGTTACTATCTACTGACCTAGGGTATTTTCTTGGTCTAGAGCACTGTCTAGGTCTTTGACTGCCTACCGGCCTAGGGTATTATCGTGTTCGTTTCTCTTTAATACCTTATTAGACCTATTCATACGCAGCTATAAACTTTTTCTCGAATTGCGTTCTTCCCAGAAGTATAAAAGAAGACCCCCTATTGATTGATTGATTATATTTTCATCGGCATAAGTGACACCCCACTAGATAAGGACTACAGACTGGACATGACGTCACTGCCTACCATCAGTTTATTATTCCCACTCCAGGACGTGCTGTTATTTCTCAGACCTGTTCTGTCTTGCGGTCTCCCCGTCTCACCATCAAAGCCTCGCTTTCATGCACCATGCACCAGGAAAACTCAACTGTCAGGCTGCCCACAGGGCAATTATACGAAGCCGGAAGAGAGCCGGAATAAGTCATACAAATAGTATGATAGTCGTGGCATATCAGCGGCACTTGAACTTGGATTGATTGGTTTCTCTCCTACGCAAACAGAGCTTCAGAAGCAATTTTCCCCAGCGTCGTAAAATATTAGGGCTAGAAATGTTCCTTCCTGGAAGAAAGGTGTTTCTTGTGAAACGATTCCTATTCCGGTACTCGTCACTAAATGTGATAAGGCTATTAAGTGTTCAAATATAGAGGAAAGAATGGGACAAGTGGAGTCGTCAGTAAGCGAATTGGAAAGTAGTTCTAAGTACCATTCACAAATAAGTCAAGATTTGAACTGAGATCTGATAATAAGCGCTTGAGGAGTTAAAGAAATGAAGGAACACGAAGAAAGCTCAGTAGCTCAGTTGCTGGAAGTGTAAGAGAGTGGACTGGATTTTCTTTGAGCAATTACACCGACTTACACATCTTTACAAAAGGTATTTTGGTACACAGTACCTTTTCTAAATATGTACACAGTACACACATATTTTTACGAAAGGACTTACACAGTACCTTTTGTAAAGATGTTTGAGTGTCCTTACAAAAGAAACTTTGTAAGACTCATCTGCGAGGCAATATGAGTCTTGATCTCATTGCGTCTGTCATATCCTTCTTTTTCTTGGGCGTGTAGCTTCTGGATATGTATTTCCTTCCTACCGTAGACGTATCGTATTGTGTGCGTTGCATAAAACAGCCATTTTAACGGCACAACACTTTATTAACACACAATAAAAATAATAAGTACAAACGATGAACACACAAGTATCACTTCGTATCTTCACCTAAGCTGACATACAACACATTTACCTTCGTTACTTTGGCTACTACTTACTACTACTCTTCTTCGTAGTCTCATGAGAGAGAGAGAGGCGTTGCAGGCCGTTCGGCTAAATGCGCTGCGTGTCATCACGTCATGACACCTCCCCTCGAAAAGATTTGATTGCGTCTTCCAATGACCTGTCAAATCCACTATTAACATTTCTTGAAACAAAATAAATACCATCCACGAATTTTCGAACTTAATTAACCAATTCTTACCATTTTAAATTAAAATTACTTCACATGAATTCAGTAATCCTATTCATTAAAAGGATGTAACATTCAATAACTTTTCAAACTTAAATCATTCACATAATCAATCATATAAGCATTATCATATAAACAAGACAATACAATCAATCATTAACATTAAACAACACATTAGCAACCCTACTAAATCTTTAACACATTACCTAACGTGAAAAAAAATTAGCATTTTAGCTAAAAAAATCAACTAAACAGTCAAATGTCTTATAGTTCATAGTTCATAACGTCCGTCATGCTTCCAGTCACGGGAATATTATCATGTCATTTTAAGTCACCTCATCAAAAACTCAGCATGGTCTTTTAGTCTACACATAATGTTACTGTTCCATTTTGTTAACGCCAAAATTACTGGATGCACATATTCACTTTCTGATTCAACGATTAGCTTTAGCTGTAAAGCTTATCTATTGACGATCAGCTTCATTCTTAGAACTTCAGGTATTCGTACGGTTTCTGCTTTCCTGCATACTTCAGTTTTCAGTTTGATGCTGTTCTCCCACGTTGGCGATTTCGGAACCATTAGTTCTTATCCTTCTTAAATTTCCATAAGTTCTTTCTTCTTATCGGTTCAAGTGTGTAAAATCACATTCCTCATTAGAAAAGTGTTCTTTGCTTCCTGGAACAATTCTTGGAACGTTTCAACTTCGCCGAATCAATACTCTATC